TATATATATATATATATATATATATATAAATTTTAAAACTTTTATTTTCTTCTAGTAATGACGATTAAAATTTAAATAATATAATGATTATATTTATATAATTTTATAATATTAATTTTGAATTTAATTTAAATTAATTTTATTGTATTACATAATATAATTACAAATAAAATTTTTCTGTTTTGAAAATATAATTTTAAGTCAAATATCTTTGTATAATAAAACTGATTTTAAGGACACGTGATATGAATGAACCAATCAAATTTAGTAATGGATATCGATATATGCATTTAGATGAGATTGAAACGATCTACTTGTACGTATGTAATCATGCATGTTTTCTTGATATTAATGTGCATAAAATATTTATATTATCAAACATTATCAATATCTTTCATAATTTTTATTATGAATTATTATGAATTATAGATTATTTCGTATGTATTTTTCATTTCGATTATAATTGAAGGATATAGTAAATATCGAATGCGCTTAAAAAAAATATTTATATTTTTGCATAAATATTTATTTTAATTTATTTATTATTATATTAAAAAAATTATATATAATTATTAATTTTAATAATTTACAATAATTGTTTTAATCTTATTTATTTCCTGATATTTATTTTCTTGATATTCATAAACATATGGAAATCATTGTTTAAAAAAAATATATTTAATATATTTTTTATTTCAGATTATGAAAAAAAATAATAAAAAGAATGAAATTAATATGAAATTAATGCTATAAAATATCTTTCTATATATATATATATATATATATATGTTCATTTTAGGACAATAACAATATCATATTAGAAAGGTGACAATACTTATATCAAAAACAATTATGATATAAATGTATGTATATATTTTAATAAGTTATTTTTTTATTTCTATTTAATATTCTATTTAAAATATTTATTCAATTTAAATTATTTTACATTTTCAGAAATTTAAAAAATATTAGTCATCTAAATTGAAAGAAATTTCAATTTTAATAATGAAAGTTGAACCAATAGATAATTTGTATCTTGCACTTATACAGTGCTTTGCTATTATATTATGCGGGTAAATTTTTTAAATAAAAATAATAATTATTTTTTATCTTAATAATTAAATTTTTATTATATAATTTTTAAAATATACATGAAAAAAATTTGTTATTTTTCAGATATATTGCAGGACGGTTTGATGTTATTACTAAAATAGAAGCAAATGGTTTGAATACTTTTGTAGGAACATTTGCTCTACCTTCCTTAATTTTTATGTCATTGGCAAAGTTAAATTTTACTTTAGTAAACTGGAAATTTCTTTTTGCTGTTTTATTAGCTAAGAGTTGTGTATTTTTTATTGTTCTTAGTATATCTCTAATTATTAAAAGAACATCAAATCCAGGTTGTGCTGCACTTTTTGCAATATTTACTACACAAAGTAATGATTTTGCTATTGGATATCCTATGAGTAAGTAAATTAAAAATTGATACTAATTTATAAATATTTAATATTATTATTTTTATAGTTCATGCATTATATGGGAAAACACATCCTGAATATGCTGCTTATTTATATTTAATGGCACCCATATCATTGGTTATTTTAAATCCAATTGGTTTTGTATTATTAGAAATTGGTAAGCGTTATGATGAGGATCATAGAAGTTATAAGGACATGATTTACTCTATTATAAAAGGAATAATGTTGAATCCAGTACTTCTCATGACTGTCCTTGGTATCTTTGGTAATCTTGTCTTTAGTCATGTAGTACCAGCTGTACTTGCAACTATACTTAATGTATTTGGTAATGCTTTCTCAGCAAGTGCTCTTTTTTTGTTGGGATTAATGATGGTTGGAAAAGTGCACAAGTTGAAAGGTACAGCTCTTGTAATACCAGGGATATTGATTTCAATAAAATTGCTGGTACTTCCTTTGATTATAAGAGAATCTATTATTCTCTTAAACCCTGGAGAAAATGCTACAGATACCCAAGATTTAAGTACATATGGATTTCTATATGGTACTATTCCTACAGCACCAGCTTTATTTATTTTCACTCTTCGATATAATCTTGAAATTGATTTAATTGCATCGGCAATGGTTGCTTGTACTTTTTTATCTGCTCCACTAATGTTTGTATCTGCAAAATTAATTGATGCTGTTGCAACTGGGATTAGTCCAGAAAATTATGAACATCAGTTGAATATATTTTCTTTTGATGTAAGCATTGCTTCAGCAACAGTTTGCATATGGTTAATAATCTGTTTTATTGGATTAGGAAAAAAAAATATAAATGCATCACTCACAAATGTACATTCTGTATTATAATTGCTCAGGTTTGTATTAAATTCCATTAGTTTAGAATTTATATCAATTATAATTGAAATATTTATATAAAAATTGTGATTTTTAGCTAGCGACAGCTATTGGTGTCGTAATATGGACCAAACTTGAATCTCATAATAGTGGTTCAGTTTTATGGTAATATCTATAATATATATATATATATATTAATATATAATATATATATACACATATATATTAATTTATTGTAGGTATATTCAATTTATTTTAATTACTATGGGAGTATATGCAAGTCGTATTTGGACTATGGCAATAGCTGCAACTTTGTTATATTTAAGTTCCCGTTCTTTGGATTTTGTTTACAATATTCAAAAATGGTTTTATCCTATAGGATGGGGGTATGATAAATACATTTTATCCTACAATTAATATTAAAAAAGATAATATAATTAATTTATTGTTTCAGAATTCCATTTTTAATAGCAATTATCATGTGTAGCACTATATCTTCAAAGCAATCTGAACTTGAGTTTAGAAATCCAAATTTTCAATTTGGTACTATTCAAGCTGGAATTTCTATTTTTATATTAACATTTTGCTTTATTGGTAGGAATAAAATATATTTTGTTAAATGAAATAAGAAATAATTTTTTTTTATTATATATTTTTTTTACAGTAACAATAGGCTGTTTGATTTTACAACAAAATTATCATCGTCGAAATATTTTAACATCTTATCCTAATTTAATAAATAATACTGAAAATTCTTATAATGATGATAGTGAAGGACAGGTAGTAGATGTTGAAGATTTGATTTCTTCAACTTCTAATACTGCAATGTAGGTGATTCATATAACAAATTTATTATATTAAAAATTATAAAACTTTTTTTAATTAATATATTAATTCTATTAGCATTGGTTGTGAATATATAGATGATTGTCCAAGTAGAATATGTAGAGGCTATAATAATGAAATCAATAATTGTGATTTATACATAGAAGTTGAAAATGAAAGAAATGATCCTCAATTTTTACGACATCTTATATTCGTTATTTTACTTCTATGTTCTATGTTTATAGTAAGTACACTATATATGCAATATATGCAATATATTCAAAAGATATTATAAAATTATATTTTATCAAATATTTTATAAAGGGTTTATCTATATCAATTGGAACATTATTGATGGAACAATTAACCGGAATTTATGCGGAATTAGCGTTTTTGGATGTTGCTTTAAATTTTGGCCAATCATTAATCACATTTGCTATTTTTGGATTAGATACTGATCTTGGGAAGTTAGGATGTTGGTTACGAAAAATGTGTCGAAAATGGCGTGCTGGTACAAAATTATTTTTATTATATATACTATTTTTTTATCTTTAAATAGAAAATATTTATAATTAAAATAATATAATTTGCTATTTATAGAAAAAGAATTACAACTTCCTCCTGAAGATGCATTAAGTCCAGAAGTGAAGGCTATTAGGGATCAATTTAATCGTTGTTATTTAACCGAATGTCGTGCTCGTATAGCAATATGTCGTAGACGCTTATTAAAGGTATACAAAGGTGTTTTCACTGGAACTGATTTAGTTAATTGGTTGCTCGAAGCCAATATTGCGCAAACTAGAGAAGAAGCCATTCAATATGGTCGTAATTTATTAGAAAGTAGAGTATTACAGCATATTGATGGTACCCACCATTTTTGTGATCAAAATTTACTTTACATTTTTAATGCCTAATTATACACCTTGATAAAATTTTACAAAATGATTATTTTTAAATTCTTTTATTAGTATATCATCAAATATTATTTCTTTAAAATACTATAAATTGAAATATTTAGCAGTGAAATTTTTTACTATATATTTCGTATAATATATTATCTAAGATTTTTCAAGATAGAATATAATTTTTAATATTTTTTTAAATCTGTATATTTTTTAAATTAATTTATTCAATTATAGTATTATTGATTACTATTTATTCTATAAAATCATTTTTGCATCTGGCTGTGCTTTTTCTTTCTGTGCTTTCTGTAATTATAAATGTTACATATATTTTATGATACAGTCTCAAACTTATAGAAGAAAGTGATAACAATTAATTGAACGAAAAGCCAAAGAGATAAATATTAGTATTCTATTTTTAAATTGTTATTTAATCATTATTATATGCAGGATTATTTTATATAAAATATCTCTATTTTCTTATAGATTTGAAATTTATTGTTAATAAGTTTAGAAATATTATGTTAGAATAAAAGATATTAAATTTTATTGCTGCAATAAAATAAGAAATGAAATATTATAAATAATATTTTTGAAAATATTATATCATAGAATAAAAAATAAAATTTTTCTTTGAAATAGTAGTTTTTTTAATGTAATATTTTAATTTTAATTATAATTTGAATATATATTAATAATAAGAAGAAATATAAATAGAAACATATAATGTAAAAAAATATAATAAAATAGAAAAAAATTAGAAACATAAATCATCATCTGGATCTTCCTCATCAATATCATCTATGTCCTCTGGTTGATAATTAATTTTAGATATATTTATATTTGGATTAACTATATATGGTAATATTGTTTTTTTTTCTGTTTTACTTCATTTTCACTTATTTCTAATCTGAATGAAGATTCAATTTGATTCAACTTCTCATACTCTGAATCTAATTTTTTGCATTGTTCAAGTTTTTGTGACTGAATTTCATAAGATATGATATTTTGATTTACTATTTCCTGTTGTTTCAAAATTCCTCCATTTATTTTACGATGCACAAGTTCTACTATATAATTAAAATTCTTGTTTATCGCTGAATTAGAAAATTTCTGTATTTTTACATATGTACTACCTAATGTTTCAATGCAAGGTATTTTAATTTTTACAAAATCACGTTTATAAATACAAATTACTTGTGACACTTGTTTGCTTAATTTCTTTAAAAACCACAAAGTCTTTGATAAACCAATAAATAAAATTAAAGATGTCAAACAATCAATAATCACTGTAGATTTTGCATTTGTAGTTTTCAAAATATATTCTAATCTATGAAAATCTTTTTCAGCAATATTACTTGTGTCAAATTCATTAATATTAATAGTATAATAATCAGAAATATGTATGTTATCTGATGTGAAAACTTTGTGTTCATTTTGATATGAAGATTTTGGATTGGAAAACAATAACAAATTGAATACACGATTAGCATCATTCTCTTTCCACATTTGTATCCATCCTGCAATTAGTATTTTTGCATATGTTGCATTTTACTCCTAAAAATATATTTATTATTATTTATTATCAATTATATATTATTTATAAATAAATAAATAAATATATATATATATATATTATTTTTTAATTATAACATTTAAATTAAACCATAGTTTTGCAAAATATTTTTCTCATGTATATATATATATATATATATGTATGTATGTATGTATATATTTTATTAATATCACCAAACCTTCATCAAGAATAATTAATTTTGTACCTTCTAATGAAGGTAACATTTTTACAGATATCATATTGTATTATAAGTAAGAACACCTATGAAATTAACAATAATCATGTAACTATATATATAATGATGAGTAAATGTTATATTATTATTAATGAAGTAAACAAATTACAATTAAAAATTTAATTATTAAGAATGAAGATTACATTTATAAGAAATACATCTTTTTAAAAAATTTAATTTTAAATTTTTAATTTTGAAACAGGTCAATATTATTTCTTATTCATATTTCAGAAAGTGAGCACAAACTATGCGATACATAGAAGAATGTGTATATTGTCAAATTTGAATGTGATCAGTTCAGAGAATTTTATCTTTAAATTATCTTCAATAAGATTGAAATTGGTCCTCGATACAACAATTGATAGATGTCGCTGTATTGACTCTGAAAAGGGTGCGGTACACGGTAATCGCCATACTGGACGAACGTGACCAAAGACAGAGCGAAAATGAGTACTAGAGTGTGTGTCATATCAAAGCTATTTCACTCATAACAGAGGGTTTATTTTGACAGTGTGATTTGCGAATGACCCACACGATGTTTAATATATCGGCTGAACCCTAAGGGAATCCAATAAGTGTCAATCTCTACGCGTGACTGCGTAAGATCAGAAATATCGCAGCTCGGGTTTCCTTACAACGGGTTGTCGCTGCATGTGTCACTGTGAGTGCAGCTTGTGCTTCAGTTTCGAACTTCATTCTCTTTGTTAACATTTACGTGCATATTATTAGCAGTGTACTTGTGGTGGAATAGATGCAATATTAAGGTAACTTCTTTGAATTACCACCGATGAGTTTGACTGTGTTGTGCTCTGTTCGGTGCTGCTCCTTCAACTAATCGCGTGTGTAATGCCCGGGAGTCGCTCTAGCACGGACCCAGAGCACAAGTCACCGCGGGAAAGTGGTGAAGATTCAGAAGATGAGAGTGAAATCCTGGAAGAGAGCCCCTGCGGGCGGTGGCTCAAACGCCGCGAAGAGGTATGTTTTTTTTTTAATTCATTTATATTTATATCTTGTTTATCACTTTGACTGGAATTTTATTCTGATTAATATCGTTTTAAATATTTAGTTTAACATGTTTTCTTCATGAAAATCATAATTCTATATGTTGTTTGTATGGAAGAAATAGTAGAATAAACAAAAAATATAAGAATAAAAAAATTTTTTATTATGATACATCTTATTCATACAGATTTCAAGATTTTATATTTTATTCTAAGATAATTTTCTAAAATTAATTCTAAAGTTAAATTGTTAATTAATTACATTTATAAATGCTTTCTATCAAATTATTTTATTATTCTTTTTAAAGACAAGAATTTAATAATTTTAAACCAGTGAAAATGTTTTATTTATGCTGTTCAATAATTGTTATTTTATGTTAGGTGTATGTAGGTTCCAAATCCACATTAGCCGAAGGCTCTACATTTGGAACAGCCAGAGGCAGTGAAAACGAAGTTACTGAAATGGAGGTATGTTTATTTTAAGAAAAATAAGCTACCTTTTTGGTTTATGTATTTTTTTTATTCAAATTTTAATCAAAAAAATGTATTAGAGGAAAACTATTTAAATATATTTTATTTGAATATAGTTCATTATCACAAATATTCTTTAATGATAATCCCTGTCTATAAATTCCCCTTCTTAAATTGCAAGGTCATATTAATGTAATGATAAATAAGCATGAAATTGTTTGATTTATTATATCTATTTAAATAACTTTAAAATAGATGATTACAATAATGTGTTCTATCATTCTATATCTATAGTTTCTTTGAAATATATTAATAATTTGATTTTATTTTTATCATATATAATTTTTATACATTGTAAATAATATATTTTTATAATGAAGTAAACTTTATGTATTTTTAATTTAAGTTTTTTATAAATAATTATGAATAAAATAAAATAATTTTATAAATAATATTATTTGCTATTTAGGTGGAACAACGTGATGTACCAGGAATCGATTGTGCCTATTTGGCAATGGATACAGAAGAAGGTGTTGAAGTTGTTTGGAATGAAGTGCAATTTTCAGAAAGGAAAAACTTCAAAGCACAAGAAGAAAAAATACAACTTGTATTTGAAAATCTTACACAGTTGGAACATCCTAATATTGTTAAATTTCATAGGTATTGGACAGATACCCATAATGATAAACCTCGGGTATGTTATGAAACATGTTATGAAAGATGTTATGTTATGAAAGAAATTAAAGTTTAAATTAATTTTGAATTTTTAAATAAATATGTTATTTATTATAATTTAATTTTATTTTATAATTTTATTTTATTTATTAGGTCATATTCATAACTGAGTATATGTCTTCTGGGTCTTTGAAACAGTTCCTAAAAAGAACAAAGCGTAATGTCAAAAAATTACCCTTGCAAGCATGGAAACGTTGGTGTACTCAAATACTTTCTGCTTTAAGGTAATATGAAAGAGAAATTTTTTATATATCATAAGTCTTTTAAATTATATTTATATATTTTTCTTATAAATGTATTAATCATTTTTTCAATTTTTCAGTTACTTGCATTCTTGTTCACCTCCCATTATTCATGGAAATCTTACTTGTGACACAATATTTATTCAACATAATGGACTTGTAAAAATTGGTTCGGGTAAGCAATTATTTCATAAAACATAAATAACTTTTTATTCTATGAGAAAAATTTTATGTACAAGAAATTATGTACTTGTTAATGTTTCTCTACTTTATACATCAAAATACTTTGTTAATAATATTTATTACTATATCATATAGCTAATCATAGGTATTCAAGATTTATTCCTAAATGAAAACATTTATTATATATTGAAGTAGTATTTGCAAGGCACTTTTCCTTTTTATTCACAGGACTATAGAAAGATTAATAGTTTTATTTGTCATAATTTTCATGGATGAAAATTATAAATCACAATATAGGATTATAAATGTTAAAAAAAAAATATATATATATATATATATATATATATATATATATATATATATACA